GGGGAGGTGACGAGTCGGGGAGAGCTGGCGAACAATTCTGGGAAGGGTAGGGAGGGAGGCAGGGAGAGGCAGCGTGTGCATGTGTGATGAGCAGTAGCTGTGGACCTTCCAGTTGCTGCTAACTGCCCTGGTGTGTGTGTGCGCGCGTGTGCTCGTGTGTGTATGTGTGTGTGAGCGAGAGAGAGAGGGAGAGAGAGAGGGAGGGAGGGAGGGAGGGAGTGGAGAGGGTGGGGGGAGAGATAAGAGAGAGAAGAGGAAAAGGAGAGAGGAGAAGGAAGGAAGAAGAAGGAAGGAAGGGGACAATACGATCATGCTGTGCTGTATGAGAAGAACAAAACAGGTAGAGCTTAAGATTTTTATATTTCTTTCTGTTAAGAAGCCTCCCAGGCTGCTGGATGTCCGTATGTCCCTGGGGTGCGTGTGTGAGGGGCTGGAGTAGAGGTTGGGGTGAGGGGGGAGGAAATTTCAGCTGCTTTCAGCAGACGTCTATTTTGCAATTCTTTAGCATCTTGCGACTGAAGGTTCTTTTCACACCCTGCAACGTGACTGTTTTGCCTTTCCGGGGCTGGTGATGTGGGGAAGGGGGGTGGCCTACATCCACATTTGGGGGAGCTACCAGAATCCCCCTTCTATTCTTTTTTTTTTTTTTTTTTTTAGGGGCGGTTTTATTTCCTCGGTGTTTTTGTGTGTGTGTGTGTGGGGGGGGGGGGGGGGGGGGGGGGAAGTGGAGGGGTGTGTTGCGGCTGGCAGGAAACGTGATGAGCTCTGGCTCTACCTTGGAGATAAAGGAAGCAATTCTTCATCTTATGCCAAAAAGGAACGGATGCCCAGTGAGCCTTGATCCCTGGTCAGAATGCTCTCAATTGCTCCTGCTTCTGATGAATGGGAGATGCTTTATGTGCCCGTGCTTTGAGGTGGCGCGGAGGACAGGTGTATTCATTTTATTTTTGTGTTGCAACAATCTGAGCAAGAATTAACCTGAAGGAATTTTTTTTTAACCTACGCTACAGTGAAAAATCCAATTAAATAATAGCAAAGCATTAGCCTTAGGATGGGGAGAGTCACCCTCTTTGCAATACCCTTCATAGTACAACCAGTTAGACAAGTGTGCACCAGCTGGGAAAGACACAGAGGACCACGCCTCTGTTAGCTCCGAACTCGGGTGGGATAAGAGAAGCTCACGGTGTGAACCTGTTGGAAACCCACTCATTTTCTATGCTGGTACCACCTGGCTTTTGCTGGAAGGGAATTGAGATGATGGAAGGTTTGGGTGGGGGCTCGTTTCAGTGTCAAAATTGTTGTGTCCAAAATGATAGTGAAATTAGGAAAAAAAAGCTACTTAGATCATTTCCCCCTCACCCTTCCCCCTTTTATTTTGTGTGAAAGCCCAAACCTGCTCCTGATTAAGAAAGCCTTTTTGGCTGAACCTCTTGGACTTCCTCGGGAGGATGCTGGATTTATGCAGTTGGAACTTTGAGGCAGGAACTGACCCTAGATATCTTTGCAAGGCATTTTAGAAACTTCAAAGAATTATGGATTTGTAGGTAGCGACAAGGAGCTTTGGTCCTTGTTCTGAGCACAAAACTCAACTCAGGCACAGCACCATACTGGTTACTTTCTTTATATATGCATAAATTTCAGTGTCTTTTACAGCACAGCACTGCAGTATTCTGTTCACACGCTGATGTGAGTAACTACAGTTCCTGTGAACAGCACAGTGTTGCAAGAAGATTCAGGTTAAAGTGTGTTTCTGTGTTTCTGAATGGAGATGTGTGTTAGCAAACGAAGGAGAAATTTGTAGAATAATGGGGAGGGGCAAGTGATTGGGATAGAAAGAGACCCTGCGTCATCCTGTGTTTTTTCCTCATGCAGGTTTTTCAATGCTCCGAAATTAATTATATGCTCACCAAAATCTGGGAGGAGGGGGTGAAGGCTGGGGAGGGGGGAACACGTTGCAGTCAGCCAGCAGAGCACATTCTGATGGCAAATACGGGATGAAAAGAGCAGAGGAGGAGAAGGAAGGCAGACAGGGAGGCAAAGTGACAGAGCAGTGGGCGGAGGTGCACGGCAAATTTTAAAATAAAGTAGAAGCTCTGGGGTTCTTTGGAGTCAGAAGAGAGCTACGGGGGAATAGGGATCATTCTGCCCGCAGCATCGCAGGTTGGGCATTGAAGCTCCCGAATGATGTTCCGATATATCTGTTCTTTACACCCTTCCGGGCTTGCTCGTGTCTTTTTGTGTTCCGTGGCGCTCAGGAACGCGCGGCATGCAGGTGCCCCGCTGGCACACACCCCCCGTGCCCGTGCCCGTGCCCGTGCCCGTGCCCGTGCCCGCTCCCGCCCGGACGCACGGCGGGCACACACCCCTGCCTGTGCGCGTGCCCGCGGCGCTCGGCCCCGCTCGGCGGGCGCTCCCCTCGCTCCGGGCACACGCGCGGGCTCGCCGTGCGCTCGCTCCGCACGCCCCGTGCCCGAGCCTCCCTCCGCAGCCGCGCCGCCGCGCCGTGGGCAGGGTGGGCTCCCAGCGCAGCTGCTGCTCCTCTACCTGAACGCACACGCTATTGCCAAACCGGCAATACCGCGGCTCGCTCGGGAAAGCTGATGATACACGAGAGAAAGCTCTGACTGGGAGGAGAAAAAGATCTCGGTTTTCAGCATGTGCTCTGTCCCCACCCAGACCTTTCACTGAGAGAAAAAGATGGAATGGGTTCTTCAGCACTGGCAGGAGTTTCCTTCCCAAAATAAAAGCAGCTTTCCTCAAATTATTTTTCGGGGGAAGTCCCTGGTGTCCCGCCTTTTTGGCAGCTAAGGAGCAAAATGTTGAAATTACAGGCTTGGGCGTGGAAGAAATCTCTTCACATTTGTGTCTAGGTGTGCCTGTGTGTGTCTGTCCTCCCACCCCTCAGAGACAAATTTATTCACACGCTCATACCTTGCAGATTATTCTTTCTTGTGGGTGTGATGCCAGTGTGAAGAGTGAAGTATTTGACTGACTGACTGACTGCGCCCGCCCATGAGAGATGTAGATATCTAAGTGTTGTCATTTCTGCCTACAGCTGACTGCAGCTCTGAATCTGAGCCCACAAAATTATCAGCTGAGAGGTAGCATAACTGAAAAGCTGGGTTGAGCCTGTGTCTGAAAACCTGAACTGAGCCTTTCCTGCCAGCGAGAGATGCAGTCAGTAACACGCAGGGCTGGGCAGTGAGATAGGTGGCTTGAAATGCAAGTGTTGCATGCACTGCATACTAGAACAGATGGACATTATGGGGGTATGTGCTCACTATTGGATTGCATGAGTGATTAAACAATAACCTGCAAGCAGGTTTCTCACTTGTGGGTGAGATGAGTCCCATTCATCACCAGCCATAGACGACGCTTCCCTCGTGTTCCATCCTCTCCTCACCCCAGCGCTGGAGAGCCAGCGGCTGCAAAGGTTTAAACCTGCCACACCCATCAAATCAAAGGAGGGAGAGGGGAGAAGAGGCAGTCTGCATTTCTTCCCCCTTCCACACGAGCAGCATGAATAAACAGGGCTGTACCTCTAAAGATGCAGTTTAATGCAATTGGAGAAGGGAAAAGCATTAGGGAACAGTTCCAGCAATTACAGCCAGCCGGTGAGGTGGCTTGTCATTCCAGGAACTGCAGAGGTGTACAAAAAGGAGGAAATGGAGAAAAAGAGAGAGAGGAAGATGCCTGCAGAGTGAAGGTTTTCTTGCTTCAGGGTATTAAAATGTCTCAGGCTTCATTTAGGGTAATTATACTGCAAAATCCAGATGCTTCAGTACTTGCAAGGCGTGGTCTTACCTTTAAACACCACTGTGGACAGTGGAAAAGGGGTATTTTAAAGGAAAGGTGTCTATCCACACCCCTCCTCCCACCACTTGCCTTCCACCACTTGTGGTGTAAATCACCACAGACTGCTGACTACAGGGCAGAGGCACTTCATCTGCACCTAGGGAGAGTCAAGCTACTGCCTCTGCCTTTCTGAGAGACACTGAGCAGCTTCTGTGCTTCTTCCAGTAAACAATTGCTCCATGGAAGTTTAATTACTGTCCTCACTATTTCTTTTCCTGGGGCAATACCCCTGGGATTTCTACTGAGAAGGGTGTCTCCAGAGAAACAGCCCTCCCATCACCCTCTCCTCCACTGCCTTTGCTGACTATTAGAGACATTGATTTCTCCTAGATCATATAATGTAACTGTTCTTAATGGCACAGACAAGCCCCCTCCTAGGGAACTAATTGCAGGCAGAGATTCCAGAGGGAGAAGGACAGCAATAGTGCTTAGTGGGAAAGAAATCAGTCTGTGGATCCAAAGTGTCTTTGGCCACTTGCTCCTGAATTGAAGGCCCAGCAAAAACCAATCAGGCAGTACCTGCTGGTATGCAGAGGCATCCTTGCCTAGAGAGCTGCACTGAATCTCCAGTGTGACCATGCCAGGCTGGGGACGTGTGCAGCCCAAGGAACCAACAAGTATTGTCTGAGGACTTGTCCTGGCCTAGTGCTGAGGCTGCCTGAATGATCTCAGAGCTGCTTCTGCCATTGGATAAGGAAATGAGCTGTAGCTCCAGGCTCTGTCCTTGCTGTGCTGAAATGGTGGGCATTGCTTGGGGATGGAGATGAGAGGGACTTCTCCTTTGGTCATGTGGCTTTGACTGACTAGAAGGAGAAAGTGCAAAGAGTTTTCATCTCAAATCGACTCTCCTTGCAGGCCAGCTGTATTGGACCCTGAGATTACCTCAGCTGGTTAGAGCATGGTGCTATTAACACCAAGGTTGGGATCAATACCTGAGTGGGACATTCACTTAAGTGCTGGACTTGATGATCCTTGTGGATCCCTTTGAACTCAGAACATTATCTGATTTGGATTTTGTGATGCCGTCCCAGGATCCTCTAACACAGACATTATACTTCCCTCTCCCCATTTCCCAGAGAGCAGGAATTTCTCACTGCTAGGAGCTGCCAAGTTGCAATGCCTTCTGCGCTGGTGGAAAGGAGAATGAGGCCCATTGGCCCTTGAAAGATGAAAGTAGGTGGATAGTCTTGCATGATGCAAATGAAGGATGTGTATTCCTGCTTGGATTTGCTGTGAGACATGTGCTCCTCATAGTGACTCGTGTGCTTCATGTGCTGTCCATGGCAGAGGACATGGGGTAGAATTGGGTTCTGCCTAATCTCTACCAAGCAGACAGGTATCTGCTGAGGGATTGGTGTATTACCAGGTAAAACAGCAGCTATAGCCTGGAGGTTACTTCTGCTTTTCGCTGAGATAATTTGAAGCAAAAGCACCAGAATCACAGAATATTCTTAGTTGGAAGAGACCCACAAAAATCACCGAGTC